AGCTCAAAATAAATGAACATCGAAGTGTTTGCCAGTTAAGGGTGCACGTACATGTTAAACTAAGTCTACACCTGCCTATTTATTTTACATAATTACCAAATGAATGATTCAACGTTACTGAATACCACTTTACAGTGTCTCTGATAGTTCACCAGACATAAATAGCCTACTGTCTGCCAATATAAGCGCTTGTACATATCACATTAGTTACATTATTCGACCATTATGGCTTCCGCTCAGCTAGAGCACAGGGCACTGTAGAGTCGGGAATGACTCCATTTCGATGGCCACACAGCAAACAAAATGTATTCAACTGCATGCACACATGCCGGAGCTCCACTCCGGAGTGCACAACAAAACATTGCCGAAAACCGATTGCCATAAAAAAAACTGACATAACATCTAAATTTATGTGCAGTGTGGTTTACATGGCCAAAAAACCGTACTATGGCTCCGTTTTCAGCCATTTAGTGGCTCTCATAAATTGTTTAGGTGTGCTGATTTCCAACTGGTTGAATATAATATTCGCTGTGAATATTCCTCTAATTATGCCCATATTCGATGATAAATGTGGCTGGATGGTGGCTGGCGGCTCACGGCACGGGGTACACGGCGTATGCGTAATTCAATCAAGCGCCAATAAATCGAGGTGAACTTTTTTCAATGCGCCCAGCATTAAGTTTCAATTTATTTCAATCAGCGAGCGCACAGAATCCCATAAAATTGCAGTAAATTCAACAATGGTAAAGTTCAATTACGCAACTTGGATATGCAGATATTTTCCAGATATACATATAATACGATTCGATTTCATTCGCGTTATTTTCTCGCTTTGCAATTGACAATTTAATGGAGTATTCCACGCTGGCGGCTGGGACCACCAAAGCCATGGCCCTGTCTGTAAGTGTTAACCGCTTACTTAGGCCATTATGCTGGCCGAGGCGACATTGTATTAGGCAGGGAAATTTATGGACGCAGCTTTTATGCTTTAAGGACTAGACTCCCGCGTTAATGGGCGCACTTGTGAATTTATGGGCACGGCCTGCGGTGCCTGGCCAGGAGATAAAGATAGACTTGCCTGGAGGACTATTTCATAGTTAGCAGCTTGAGCTTCCTGCTAAGTATGTAAGTCCTTACACACTCTCTCTGTCTCTCTGTCTCTCTCTCTTACTCTTTCTTTCTCCCTGTGGCATCTCTGGACGACTTTTAATGGCTACCACACCTTGCTTACATATTTACTATACAAATTACACTTTTTATTGCATGCGATTTCAATTCTTTCGCATTTGGTACTTTACTGGAAGCACAGGCATGGACTGTACGCACGGCACGTGGCAAAGGGTTCTTCCGTTTATTGAGAATTAATGGTTTATTTATATGATGTGTTAAGGTCGAAACAGGGTCGGTCGTCCCCGTGCGCTTCCTTGCATACTCGTATGAGAGTTGCGTGTGCCGCAAATTGAAGCTCAAATTATGTGCCTCAATTTGGGCATTCGGTGGGTCAAAACCCCGACTCTGCATTGTCTTTGTGTTTGCAGCTGAATTTCCATAATGCGCAAATTGCAGGGGAGCACGAAGGGAAATTTTTTGATTATGGCATGTTGCATGTTGCGTGTGGCGTGTATGCTAATTTGACTGCACTTTTGCCTATGCTGAATGTTCACTGTGAATTGCGAATGTTTTTTGGTTTGTTAAATATGTATGACATGCAAATGGGGATGGGGTCTGACTCCAATTAACTCTGATCGATTTAACAAAGCACCAACCACTTTCAGTTAAAATAGTTTGTAGTTCGCGTTTTTCCGCTCCTAGGAGTACATTCCGAAATGATTCGACGCTACTTGTTCCTTTTGATGGCCGTGGCCTTAGTTTCTTCCATTATGTAATTATCTAATTAAATTCTGACATATTCAGGCACCACTTTCCCAGAACGTATTTTTTCCCCGTAAATTCCGACAGTGGAAGGAAGGCCAACACATTTTCATTCGCATTCCCAATTAACCGAGAAGTAGCTTACCCTATCTTGCCCATTTGTTGAAGGAACGCTAGTTTTGTCCCTTAAGTTCCTATGCGTCAATTAATGATTTTTGCTATCGAAATAAAGGCTTTTTTGGCGATAGTCCTGGTGTTTTATATTTCGAATGAAATACATACTAACTTTCAGAAAATAAATAATAAACTTTTTATAACTACTCTCGAATTCCCCAGGGTATTTTCGAATTCATTGCAGATTTTGGTCTTCCTTCTTGTTTTGCATAATGTCTGTATGCGAAAGCTTTAGTTTTTATTTTATCTGCAGATGGCGGTAGTTAGAGGAATTGTCAGTTCCGGCCGCACTCATCCCACCCCATCCCATCACATCTACTCCCTCGCATATACTGGTCCACATGCATATGCAATTTAGATTCTAAAAATTAAATTAAAATAAATAAACAACAGCGCATTTCCATGTGGCAATTTATTCATTTTCATTTGTTTAAGCGACGCTCTTGACGCCTCATGTTTGTCATTAAGCAAATAGTTTGCGGGCGTGGCGAGGCGGTGAATGTGAAATACTCGTATTTCTACATCTGTGCTCATGCAGTGTGTGGGAAATATACAATTGCCGAAAATCACAAATAAACCATTATGTCTAAATCAGAGGAATCGGACCGTAAGCGATCTATTTCCCGTGCTCGAATGAATGGCAGAGAAAGAGAGAGAGAGAGAGTCAAATCAGTGCTGAGCTGGATTTCAATTGTTGAGGTTTTTTGTTTTTGTTCAATTGCTGTCTATTTTATAGCAATTTGGTTGACGAAATAATGTAAAGATACAAAAATTCAATTGCTAATCCAACTGATCCATCTAATTCTATTTTGATTTCTTAAATTTGTTGTGTTTGGTTGGACTACACATTATCGTAAGTCAATAATTAGGTATGGCAGCTGAAGACATTTCTTATTGCTCTTGGAGCTTGCATACTTTTCGGCGACTTCTCTGCCGCTGATGAATTAATACAGTACGTGAGTTTGGTCTCCCGCTTCTTGTTCCTTTCACGTTCTTCTACCTTTCCACTTCTCATTATACTTGTCTGTTTTGATGCTGTTTTCTTGTTGCTGAAAATTTAGCTACGGTTATTATAATACTTTTATGCCATCGTTTACCGTCCCAGACAGCCACTGGTGCCGCTGCCACTGCCACTGCCCCGGTTGATGTTGGTGTTGACTTAGTCAAGAGCAATTAACATGCAAATAAGGCCTATTAGTTACCCAAACGTCAGCCCTGTCAGCTGTTGTGTCTTCCAACGCCCACGCCACGCCCTGCATCCGGCCCTTACCTGATGGTAGCACCTTTTTGCATCATCTATGGGGCGGATCCAACTGCTCTCTTCAAGCTCCAGGGCTGACCCAGACTCTGCCTTACTTTAATGACTTACTAATTTCAAGCTTGGCATCTACATTTTCTGGGGGAATTTCTTGGCGCGACTTCGTGTGGCCGCTCCTAGCTGTTGTTGGGCTGTCGTTAAAAATCTTAATTGGCAATTTAGCAGACAACACTGCCTCTTTGCAGTAATGCTCATCATTAGGTTTAGTGTTATGCTGTTATCCTGGAAAACTTTTGATTTCCAAAGGGTCAATCCTTTGTCTTTAATCTAATCACCTCGGCGAACCCTGGCGAATGTAGCCCGAAATTTTTATGAAGTTTCCTTTGGCCATTGCGCAATTAATGTTAATTGATCACTTCATTTCGGAGCATTTTCATTAAAACTTTTTCTGTGGGTCAGGCGAAAAGTTAAGGCGGCATCAAATGCGGATGCGGATTGCCTCGAATTGTGTGCGCTTGCCTTGATTTACATTCCAGGATTCCCACTCATTCCCATGGTCCTACTGTCAGTGCCAGGACCCGAAGCCGCATCCATGAAAGTTGAATTAACATGAAAAAATATTGACCCAAACTCACATGGGTGGATGGAGGCGGCAGGCCCTGCTGCAATTTATAGCTGCACACACACAGGCTGCAAGTGGGTGCACGGGTGTGTGGGCGTGTGGTGTCTGTGCCACACCTACTTGGACATGGACGGGGATTTACTCTTCACGGGATGCAAGCACACATTCACTCACACACACACACACACAGTAAAGGTGTGTGTTCTGACAACGAATACTGAAAGGGTGATGATCCAGGTTGATTTATCTACTGGCACACGGGGGCTAAAAGTTTTCCGCATACCTACATTGCTTAGGTCGGATTCCCATTGTGTGCTCAACCACTGCAGCCACGGGCACATGGTCCCAGCCGATGGCTCCACTGCAGGAAGGACTGGGACTGTGCAGGAGGTTATGCAAATGTCAGACTGTCCGTTGGCCCTTTGCAGCTATTCAGCCTTTCCTTTCGGTTCCAGTTCGAGCCCTCTTGGAGTCTCCTGTGTGATTTTTGACTTGACGTTTCTTTAATCTATGATTATTTTACTGGCTTGAATCAATGTAGGAATAATTCGATATCCACCTCATTACTGAGCCCTAGCCATAGATCCCAGCTAATTATGGAGCTTATCCGTTTGCTCGTTATGTATGCGGGTTTTTCCACAGCATCAGAAAGCACTCCCCTATTGGCAGGCCTGCCTCTGCTGCTCAGCAATATTTTGCTGACGTCTCCACTTCACTGAAATCCATCATTATTCTCCCGAGCCGTCTGCGACACGTGGTCCGCAGCTGACTAATAAATCTTAATCAGGCCTGCCCCTGCTGCCTGGTGTGGGCGGGTGTGGTGAGACCGTTCTCCGACTAATTTTTGGCACCCCTCCCATGAATAGGTTTACTCTTTTCCAATTGGATCTGAAGCGGCTGAAAGCGATAGCTTATCAGCTGCTGCCTCTCTCGGATTGGGCCCCTATTTAAGTATACTCGCAAACATTTCTATATGCTGACAAGTATTTATATTTATATTTTAGCTTTGATTTATTTGCTAAAACTATTGGTCGTCACCACACAAGAGTTTGGGACGATGCCTCGTGGGGCTGCCTAGAACAGGGATCCAACCTCTTTCATTAGCTTATCCCACCAGTTTCCTTCTGTGGTGGCAAGCTCCGTGGTTGTGGTTGCATTCCACTGCGGTTCATCGGTGGTTGTTCTGTTCCACTGGGGTGTTCTGGTGGTTGAGTTCCACTGTGGCTCACTGACAGTGGTGTTCCAGTTTGGCCTAAGAGTAGTACTATTCCCCCAGGGTCCCTGGGTTGTGTTCCAATTGGGTCCAGGGGTAGATAATGTCCAGTTAGGGGTGGTATTGGTGTTGGGCCATTGCGTTGTGTTCCAGTTTGGACCGGAGGTCCAATTTGGGCCGGAGGTGGTATTACCCCACCAAGGACCTTGGGTAGAATTCCAGTTTGGGCCGGAGGTGGTGTTACCCCACCAAGGACCTTCGGTACTATTCCAGTTTGGGCGGGCGGTGGTGTTACCCCACCAAGGACCTTCGGTAGAGTTCCAGTTTGGGCCGGAGGTGGTGTTACCCCACCAAGGACCTTCGGTAGAGTTCCAGTTTGGGCCGGAGGTGGTGTTACCCCACCAAGGACCTTCGGTAGAGTTCCAGTTTGGGCCGGAGGTGGTGTTACCCCACCAAGGACCTTCGGTAGAATTCCAGTTTGGGCCGGAGGTGGTGTTACCCCACCAAGGACCTTCGGTAGAATTCCAGTTTGGGCCGGAGGTGGTGTTACCCCACCAAGGACCTTCGGTACTATTCCAGTTTGGGCTGGCGGTGGTGTTACCCCACCAAGGACCTTCGGTAGAGTTCCAGTTTGGGCCGGAGGTGGTGTTACCCCACCAAGGACCTTCGGTAGAGTTCCAGTTTGGGCGGGAGGTGGTGTTACCCCACCAAGGACCTTCGGTAGAGTTCCAGTTTGGGCGGGCGGTGGTGTTACCCCACCAAGGACCTTCGGTAGAATTCCAGTTTGGGCGGGAGGTGGTGTTACCCCACCAAGGACCTTCAGTACTATTCCAGTTTGGGCGGGCGGTGGTGTTACCCCACCAAGGACCTTCGGTAGAATTCCAGTTTGGGCGGGAGGTGGTGTTACCCCACCAAGGACCTTCAGTACTATTCCAGTTTGGGCGGGCGGTGGTGTTACCCCACCAAGGACCTTCAGTACTATTCCAGTTTGGGCGGGCGGTGGTGTTACCCCACCAAGGACCTTCGGTACTATTCCAGTTTGGGCGGGCGGTGGTGTTACCCCACCAAGGACCTTCAGTACTATTCCAGTTTGGGCGGGCGGTGGTGTTACCCCACCAAGGACCTTCAGTAGAATTCCAGTTTGGGCGGGAGGTGGTATTACCCCACCAAGGACCTTCAGTAGAATTCCAGTTTGGCCGGGAGGTGGTATTACCCCACCATGGACCTTCGGTTGAATTCCAATTTGGACCAGCGGTTGTATTGTTCCACCAGGGCCATTCAGTAGTATTCCAATTTGGACCGGAAGTGGTATTGTTCCAGTTCCAGCTGGGAGTGGTGAGAGTTGTATTCCAGATGGGCGGGGGCAGAGTGGAGTTCTGGGGGGCCTCCTGCTCTGCGAGGCAGTTGGCGAGGACAATGGACGCCCTGTCCAGCTGAACGAGAGCTTGTTCCACCTCCTTGACAATGCAGTGCCTGCTGCGCCTGTAGTCGTGGCGGTTGAGGCGGACGGAACTGAACAAGTTCAGGATCTGCATGAGATGAGAATCGCTACAGTCAGACAACGGCGAGAGGTTGGGAAGCAGGCACTCTTCCACTTACCGAATCCACGTAGCAATCGCGACGCGAGCAGGAGTGCAGCTCCCGCTCGAATGCCTTCTTCGTGTGGGCAGCATCGTCTCCCTTTAGGTAGCGACGGATGTCCTTCTCCTCGACATTGATGCAGCGGCGTATCTTGTAGGCCGCAGTTAGGAGGACCTCGATGTTTTCCACCGTGTAGATGGCCGTGCATTCCTCGAGGCTGCTGAGAGATCCTGCAGCCTGCAACTCGTTGGAGTTGCCGACGAGGGCATCGAAGAAGAGCGACTTCCAAGACAGCTCGCTGGAGCTGGCTGGCTCCACTGCCACGAACGCCTATGAGAATCGCTTGTTGTTATATACATTTCTACGGGTATTTTCGGTGCAATCTCCTCTCACCTGGGCGCTGACAAGCAGTGAGCACACTGCTAATATTTTGCAGAGAACCTCCATCAGGGCGGTTCGAATCGTTTCTGAGAGGCCCCCGGAATCCGCTGACCATTTTAAAGCGATTCCCACTTGAAATTTATTAATTTTGTTCACTCATTTCATTAATTGAATTTATCTATAATTGTTTGGGGCTGCCACAATCAGTGCAAACCCGCGACAGGCGATAAAATGAAAGCAGTCTAAGTTTTGATAACAATGCATGGCCGTACTGCCAGCTGATAAACTATTTGAATGCCCACCGCTGAGTGGAGTGGGGTGTCGTCGCACGTATGTGTGGGCTGAGTAATATACTGAAGGAAACCCCCAGAAACCCCACCCAACGTTCCGACCAGTCATCGAAAACATGGCGAAATGCATTTGACAAGTGGAAAACATTTATTTTTCATCAAAAGTCTAGTTATTCACGGGCAGATTCTGCTGCTGCTGAGGCTGTTTCTGCTGCTGCTGTTGCTGCTGCTGTTGCTGCTGTTGCTGCTGCTGTTGCTGCTGCTGTTGCTGCTGCTGCTGTTGCTGAACTGGCCTTTCCTGGATCTGATCTTCAGGCTTCTGCTTCTGGGTTATCTCTCGCTGCGATGGGATCTTGGCCACGCAAGAGTCAAAGTCGTTAGCCGCCTGGATGGACTGCACCTTGGCATCGCTGACGGCAGCGCTGATGCAGTTGGTGCGGGTAGCATCCACCACTGTGGCATTGGATGCGAACTGTGACTGGGTCTGGTAGGCCATAGAGTTGGAGGTGTCCAAAAGCTGCAGGTTCTTATCGAACTGGAAAAGAGGATCATTGGCGTTAAGTTGATGGAATGAAACTACATATACATGTATAGTAAAATAACACGCACAGTGGATACGGTGCAGTTGATGAAGCGGGCCGAGTCGGTCTCGTTGCGGCATAGCTGCAGGTTCTGCTCGAGGCTCAACAGCTGGTTGCGGATGATGATCACAGTGGCATTGCTGTTCTTGTTGTTAGCCACAGTGGTGCTGTTGGCGGCTTCCTCGCACGCGTTTGTGGCATTGGACAGCTTCTCGCTATTCTTAGTGGTGGCATTCACGTAGTTGTTGGAGCATGCCTGGCCGGCGGGGGACAGGGCCCGGGACTCCATCTGGACTTCGACCATGCGGAAGAGGACCTGATCGAGGGCCGCATCGCCTGCCAAACGGCCAGCATTGACCTATAAGGAAGCGGTTGTTAAGGTGTCTCAATTAGGACTGTTTTGGGGCTGGGCTGCAACTTACGCTGAAGAGGGTCACGGCCAGGAGGAGAACTCGTGTGTACAGATGCATCTTTACTGAATGATTGTTGTTCAATTTTTGGTAAAACTGCCAGCTGCACGCCCCTTTTATACGAATGAGAGCTTCCCGAAAACCACAGAAGGTTGCATTGCGATAAGATACAGTAGGACGAGTAACTAATAAGAAAACATGGCAAATATGCTGCTAATTGGCTTCAGCAGAGAGAGCTAAAGCCCATCTCCGTGTCTCGTAATTACTTGGGTTAGATTCGTGGCTGGGTTGCCAGGTAAGAGGGCTCCAATCAGTGGCCATGTCCCATGAGGCTTGTGCTGATAAGCACTCCCACGGCTGGTGTTTACCGTCTCCCCAAAGTCTTATCTGTCTCTGTGATATAAGAGCCTATTTTAAACCGACTGAATCACTTGGCAGCTCTGCAGACGATCTGGCCACACATCATGTTTTATTAAATCAATTCAGAACGCCACTTGAATACTGATTTTAATCTGTCGATTACACGTCAATAAATCAGCAGTTGCTCTTTGAATATTTAGCATTCTGTTTACTTTGGGTCGCTTCTGAGAACTGATAGGGAATCGCTGATAAATATTTGTTTTGTTTAAGGTCAGAATGAAAGCAAATTTCCCGATTTCCATGAATTGACTTATCAGCGCCAGGTATTCATTTCCCCTTTGGATAGATTGATCGATAGATGGATCGATTCGAGTGCGCTATCAGCTCGTGAGAATTGGGTAAGCAGAGGTTCGAAATGAGTGAAAAATTAAACTCACCTAATTAGCGCCCCCACAACTGCCTTCATTTTTTATGCCGAATCTTTTGGTTGCCAAGAAGCTTTTCGAAAAGTTCCCGTATCAGGCTGCCAAAGAGTCAGTGACATATTTATCAACAGGGAGAAAACTGTGAGGGAGATGATGATGATTTTCCCCGAAGGCAGACATCTAGCCCCATGTGTGGGTTCATACTCGTGTATCATGCGTTACATCAAACAAGATTTATAAGGTACAACATTGTTCCAAGGCAGCTTTCTGGTGGTAAAGTCGCGACAGGCAACTCGAACGATTTATCAAAAGTGCAGGCAGACAGGCCAACTTTTGGTGGGACCTCGAATGCCGGCTCCCGCCGTCTGCCAGCCGCATCTGTGGTCCTCAACTTGAATGCGGCTTTGCCCTCGGGAGCCCTGAAACTCTGGGGCAGAGTCAAGTGCAAATTTAACAGGCGACAAGTGCTAATTTGAATGTGGGCAGCCATTTTATTTGTTCTGACAGTCAGCCCGGTAAGCCACAAGTCACAATCACTGCCTCCCTATCCTCCTCCATCTCCATCTCGTTTTGCTTTTCAGGAAGGATCAGATGGGGCTGTCTCTGCTGCTGGTGTCACATCATTCTCGGTTGATGGTTTTCAATGTGGAAAAATTACTCTTACACGGAGCTCTACCAAGTTCTACCAAGTGGAGTGGTGGTTGAGTCATGTAATGCGCTTCGAGTGGCATTGTGAGCTGGCTTCTGTACTGTTCTGTTCTGTTCTGTTCAGTTCTTTTTTGTTCAGGTTACGGCTCTCAAGTAGCTGTTAAGCATTTTCATTACACGAGAGCCCCAAAAGCGCAATGATTTATAGCACTTATGCGTGGCGGACAGTTGCTTTAAATACTCGCATCCCCAGCTGCTGTTCGACTGTCATTAAAAACGGAATATCTGTCATCATGCAGCAGCAGCATAAGGAGTGGATGGTTTGGGGAGTCAACGTTGTATATTGTTGCTCATTGTTTACCCTGGCCGTGGCTGCTGTCATTTCCTTTGTTTGTTGCAGCGTCGAATGCAAATAGCGACGCGGTCTAGACGAGCACGCACAATGGGTCTTTTAATTTTAAAAGTGCATTCGGAAAAGAGCATAGCATGGGCAGAGCATACACAAGTGCCGCCTGCTGGGAGGAATAGCACCATTCGGGGGAAGAGAGTCTTTAAAAAGCCAACCTTAATAGAATTGAATTTAAGCGGAGTACTATTAAATGCATATTGAAAGTATAGAGAAAAATACCTGAGTATACATATACTTAAGCAACGTCAGATTAAGGGAAACCAGAACCCTTTAGGGTATGCCTATTTCCTAACCGCAGGTACCATATAGAGTACGTATTCCTCACAAAAACACACCTCAAGGGCAGTTTATATTATTTTAAATACAGCCTCTGGATACATTTCCTGTCCTTATCTGTGCCTTATCGTGGAATTGTTTAATTTCGGGTGCATGTTAATACCATCAAGTTCTCTGGATATCTATAGACATTTGCACAATTGATTTATTGTGTTGTGTACAAAATAATGATAAATCAATGAAATTGCTCTACTTACTTTTCCTTATCTTTGCAAAAAGTCATGGCTCAGACACAGAGCCGTTTTGCCGGACTGCCGCTCCGTCTTCAGCGGAATCGAAGTTTAAGGGAAAATATAAATTTCAATTGGTTGCTCAACTTTTATTTTATTTGATTAATTGTTGACTTTTAACTGAATATTCACTTAATTGACTGAAATCAATTAGTTCATTCGCTTTGGTTGGTCGCTAGCTTTTTCCCCTCCATGGAGTTTTTCAGGACTCGCTCTCATTGTTGAGAGCTCATCTTGGGGGTAAAACAAAACTCCATAAGTTTTTTATGCAAATTGCCACAAGAGAAACTTTCCACTGTCAACACTTTGGGTTATTTAAAATGTATATATTTTAAATTATTTGCATTTGTTTATGCTTTGTTTGTTTGTTTTTTGCCGCAAGTTTTTCTCATTTTTTCACAGAACATTAAAAATGTGTATCATGTAGCGCTGCTGTGCGATTACTCAGGGTATGATGAAAATGTATAAGTATAACGCGCCGGGTTGCGATGCTACATTGCCTCTTTACACAATGTTTGCTTATACATATGTATATGTATATGTACATACATAGACCTATGTATGTAATGGGAATATTTTAGTCGCAATTGCCGCTGCAGCGTTCGTGTTCATGTTTTTTGCAGTACACGACACCTTTTTTTGCGTTCTCTGAATGTTAATTCAATGCAACATTTTCGTGTTGCCTGGCATTTGCTGCCATGTTTTTAAATAAATAGTTCCAACAACAGTGACAAGAGGTTGGGGGAAGTGGGGAGACATTCACTGTGTGCCATATGTTTGGCACAGCATGGGTGCCTTGGTGGCGTTGCGGTAACTTTGTTGCCGGCCTTGATTTCTGTTACAATATTTGTGCGGTCTAATGGCAAAATGGCATTTGAATTTTAGCCCAATGCTCATTGAGATTTAATCTGATTGTAAACGTGATTTACATTTTTCAATGGACGCTCAAGATGAGGTTCACGGGGCAGCTGGTGGGAGCAGGGGCAGAGGCAGGGACAGGGACAGGGGAATGCTGCACAGGAATCAGAATTTGCATTTCAAAGCGCGGCAGAAGGCCACTAAAAAGAGAGAGAGAGAGAGAGAGAGAGAGAGTGAGAAAAGGATAGAGGGAATGAACCAGAAAGAGAGGAAAGTTTTTATGCGAGAACTCACAAAATTTATTAACGCTTTCATTGCACGCCGGGGAATTGTCGAGCGGGAGGGCAAATGGAGGGACATTTCCTTTGTGTGTCGTAGATTTACTGGCTTTTCCAGTTGATTTTACTGGGGGATATTACGTTTTAGGGTTCGACCCCCAAGCACCTTTGTTACACAGTTTAGAAGTGCTGCAACGTAATCCAAATGCACACTTTAATCAAGTTAAATGGCGCGCATGAGGCAGGTTCCACACCAGTCGATGTAGTGGCCACAATTGCCAATAGACAGGGTTGAAAGAGCTAACAGCAATTAAAGTGCATTAACCACATGATGCACTTACATCCTTTATCACGCACCTGCACACGCATACACATGCAGCTGCTGCAGCCGCATCCCGATCCACTTCCGCTTCCGGCGGCAGGACAGAGCACGAAACCACGCATCGGAAGCGACTGTTGCCCCGTGCGTGTGTGCGCCCAGATGAGCACCTGAACAGTGTGCATCCTCATAAAAACTAATTAGGGTTCTCGTTCTCTGTCCTCCCTATTAGGCCACCTGCCACTTGCGTGGGCTCAGTTCTTCCTTTTGCGACCCACACTGTTACTGATATCGTGTGACAGATAAAAGTTTTATTTTAGAGTATGTATGTACCATGTTTCGCCACATTTGCGACCTTAGATCTTTCGAGTCTGATTGCGACAGGCAATGGACTTTGTTTCCTGTCCTGCTCAGCCTCAGCCTCAGCCCCATTCCAATCCTGTTCAGGCTCTTCCCTTAGCTTGGCTGACACGAAGAATTTAATTTAATTTTGGCAAAGACAAACCCAAAGAGACAGACGTCAAATTATTAGCAATCTAAATACACATGTGCCGACAGTTTACTTTCCATTTCACTGACAAGCATATACCCTATATACAAACATATGTAAATTATATATAAATGCGAGGGCGGGTTCGTGTCTTCGCGGAAACCAGCAAATTGCTACAAGCTTTATTTAAAAATCATTAAGGGCAAGGCAAGCGAAATGTGTTTGTTTTTAATTATGAAATTTGTGATATTGTTGTTTGAAATTCACGAGATGTTTACCTGTCAAGTGAGAGAGAGAGGTAGATAGTAGTCATTGTAAAATCTGGCTAGTAATAATCGATATTTATAATCGGGTCCGGTGTTTGTCGCCTCCTCCTATTGGTCAGTCGGCGGCTGTTTTTGCGACACAATAAGCTGGTAAACAAAACTAAGCTCTGCTGTCTCCTTCGGTGTCTCCATGGATACACCGTTTGCTCGTAATGAAGTGGCTTAAGCGGCTGTAAATTGTTCCATAAGCTGCCGTTGGACTTTTAATTTAAAAGTTTCACCCTCTGTGCGAGCACTGTATACGGCAACTTATCTACCAAAAAGCCCCCCGGCACATAATGCAATCGTCAAACAAAAGGAACAGAGCCCCACGGCCTTCGATTTCTGTTGCGGCTTCTGCCTGGATCTCTGCCGGGACTTAAGCCTCCCGAGCCGTCGTCTGTTGCATTTCCAGCCGTTCTTTGCGCTCTTTGGGTTCCTACGGCCTTGGCAGATCCAGT